AAAAGTGTATCAAAGTGTTGCAAATGTGAATGTGATTTATTTTACGAATATATATGTATACATGAAATTTTTCATTGAGTTTTTTACTCTTTGGAAAAGAAACCGAAAAAATCCACGGAAAAATTGAAAAAAAACCGGTTTTCCTTTCAGTCTTTAAAACTATAAATTTTTATATTTGTATGATTTTATATATCTCCATATGTGGAGATGTTACCGGTACCGGATATTATCTCGGGATATGTATTCTCTTAGTGCTAGTAAAAAATGAAGGCGTTATCGATCTATAATAAAGATTTTAAGCCTTATACACCGTAAGATATTGGCCAATTACAATCGATTATTCTCTTTATATTTAACTACGATTGGTCTATTTCTTACTGCTTAGGACTTAAAATCCTCATTGTGGACCAACACTATAACGTTTTAGAATGTCATTTCTAAAATTGTTATATTTGTATAATTTCCTCAGGCACAATTTCTGCCGCGGTAGTCTTGAGGAAATAAAACAGCGCACTCGGGATCTTTATCAATATTGGATATTACCTAATTTTAAAGAAGTTACACCCGAATGGGAACACATGACGAGATGTATCGTCGAATCAGTAAATTACTTTTCCTTGATGAATATACCTTATAAAACTATGGCATTACTCGCTATGGATGCCTTAAATATAAATATGCCGCATATATATGCGTCAATGAACTACGTGGAATGGATTACTTATAAAAGCGGCAGGTGAGCATATACATAGATACTATTAATTTATCTTGTAACGTAGTTCTAAATCGCCAAAAATTAAATATCAATTTTGTCAGACAATTACGTATTACAAAATACGTATATTTTTATAGAAATATTATTTTAATTGTTTCAGATTTATATTGCGCTACGTTTTAAGATTCTCAAGCTTCCGAATAATTTTTAATACACTGATCGGCAAAGTACTCAATGTTGCGATGAATTTGAGTCCAGAAAAAGAAGCAGAACTTCAGAAAAAATCGGAAAAGCTATTATCAAGTTTTTCCATTATGCATTAATAGTGAAACGCAGTTGTGTAAATTTGGAACGTATCTTAATTTAAATATCCCGAGTAAACATTTTTATATATAATTATAGGTATTATTCGGACAGCTTGAAAAAGTTGGAGAATCGTTGGCTCAAGGATATCGAGCTGAAAGAAGACTATGTTGAGAAATAAAAAAATGAATTAATAAAAAAAATGTGTTTTACTATGTTTTTCTAAGAACTTATTGACTTGCTCTCATAATATCTCGTAGTGCACGACATAGTACACGTGTATCACTTTAACAAGAAATATGACTGGTGGATCGTTAATCAATTCAAGTTCATGTTTTTTTCTCTTCGATACATGTGATATAATAAATGAAGATAATGATTGAAATATTTAAATTGCAAAATAATAACGGTTTTACATACACAACAAGATATATAGTTCTAAATAATCTATTCAATTAATAATTAATATCTCATAATGATGCTGATTATAGACTGCGTATCGCCGGGTTATTTTTAATAAAATGTTTTTTGTTCATAATCCGTACTTAATCGGAATATAAAAACAAATAAAGAAAAATGCTTGAACGAAAAGAATTATAAGTTGTAGCCATAAAGTCGCAGATCTACAGGAAGAATTTAATTGGTGGAATTAGAAGGGAGAGAGATTGTTTTCTTTGAGACACTTTGAAAAGAGTTTCAATTTGAGGAAGAATTAATATAATGCATAATAGATAAATTCTTTCTGAGAAATCTGTATCCATTGATGAATTCTTCTTCAGATCATCATTCGAAGGGATTTAGATTTGCATTTCTAATGTAATATTTTAGTAATCGTTGATTATTTATAATATATTTATCAGAATTATTATAATTTTCTATCCATGCAGGCATCCTGCAGAAAAATTTATTTCAACAAATATGTAAATGAGATTCTTATAGATGCATGTTAACATCAAAGCGATTAAATTGCTAGTCAATTTAATTTACAAGTGGATTCCGGTGTAAAGAATTATAGCTAGTATAAGCATGTAAAGAATTATAGCTAGTATAAGCTGTGTTTCAAGGCCGACAAAAATGCGACGCGCAGTTTGCGTGTACCTGAATATTGTTAAAGTTATTATACATCACATCCGTGTTGGCTCGCATTGGCGTTACAGGAACAAAAGAATAAATAAATTTAAAATTAAAATAAAATAAAATATATTTATTGATTATATTAATTTATTCATATAAATATTATTTAAATGTTATATATTCTTATTTGTGTAATACAATTATTATACATATGTCAAAATAATATTTAGTTAATAGATATAAAATATATATAATTTGTAGAAATATAATATATAGAACATATAATACATAAAATATATAAAATATGTAAATATAAATAAGATATATAATTGTAATAAATTTATAATAAATATAAAACATATACTAGGTCTGATGGGACCTGCTTGTTTGTTTACTTTATAAATATTACATAGTTGCTCGGATAAAGGTTAAAAGTAAAAGTTTATAGAAGTTGCAATTATTTCGGAATACGTAATATTCTTGAAATTGCGTATTGATAAAATTTTAAACATTTATTTAAAGGAGCATAAACCAAAAAGTAACGTATGTATATCAACGATATCTGACTTGTCATTCAACATTAAATTTGTACGTAGAGGGCGATAATCTTCAGTGACTATATGTAGCGATGTAATATGGTCGATGAGGAAGATTCCTTCCTTTACTTATGGTACACAAGATATATCATAAAAGTAATATAAAAAATATCTTTGAAAATTGTTATTTGACATAAATGTATGGGCAACGTAAATAAAATTAGCAATTACCGTAAAAATATAAAACAAGCTTGGTTACATAAATCATAGTTAACATTTATAATTAACTACTAATCAAAGTTAGTTCCTAAATCTTTAATTTTATTAATTAGACTACATTAGTTTCATTTATTTTGATAATATTTATTATAATTAGGAATATAATTATATATATAAACAAAATATTTGTCAAGTGACTATAATCAAAATAAATGTTCTCTTATAACATACATATAACATCATACGGATATAATCAACATATATACATAACATATTTATAACAATTAACATAAACATTTTTTGGTCACAAAAAACAATGCTGCAGTCAAATTGTTCCATTAGTATAAAGAAAAGCAAACACTTTTTTCATGTTTAGCAAAATTTGTGAGAGTACAAATAGTTGGATTTCAAAGAGGACAACTGTAAATTTTGACAAAAGTGTCAAACACAGATTTATTCAACCAAACTTTTAGGGTTTATGTCTTAGAATTCTAGAAACATAATGGCAAAAAAATTGTTGTTGACTAACCTTTGGTTAAGGTACTCAAAATAACAGAACTTATAATTTTGACTTTTTTTGCTTTTAAAAAGTACGTATTTTCAAAAAATGTCTTACACAAAAGTTGTAGGGTTATACTTTTATACTTTATTGTTTGTTTATTTTTTTACAAAATCTAAATCTTTGTCATCATTATGTTCGATTTTAATGTTTTCGGTCATTTTTCATTTCAATATCAATACCTGATCATCTGTAAATATATCAATTAGCTGTTTAAGTTGATCTTCAAGTCGTTTTTTTGAATGCATTATTAAATTCTTCGGGCGACTGTACCTGATCTGGTTAAAAGCGGCTTCTATGAAGAAGGTCGAAAATA